CACTCGTGGCACAGAGTGGGACTTTGCTAATGTGGCGAATTGCAAGAAATCTTGACAAAATCAACTTTCTAGGTTAACGGTCTAAAGTTGAGAAATTTCGTTTTTGTGTTACAAAACAAAACAAAACAACAAACGAAACAACTGAGCTCTTATTTTATACTGACCTAACGGATAAGGTAATTAAGTTTTCTACAAATGTATTCTATGCGAGTTATGCCTCTGCCCAAAATATAAACATTAAGTAAATTTAACTGGGATATGCCATACCCACCTCAACTTTCTTATCATAGGTTTATTCGTGTATGACTGCTTGTCGGAATTTTATGTTATAAGGGAGATAAGTACAATAAAGGAAATGTGACAACTTGGACCAAAGATTATTTTTTTATAGAGACAAGTCGGGCCACCTTTTTCAAGATTCGGAACATCTTTGAAATGCTATGGAAAGTGCATCGCTCGGTTGCATTTTGTTTATATGTTATAATTATGTAGGCTAAGGAAGGTCGATATGACTAGCCTAACGGGGCGATTTTAATGAAGGTGAAATGTACGTTTCGTTTGTAATTAGGTTCCGGTTTGCGTAAATGTTAGTCGTGTACTTTTATATTTTTATTTTACGGGTTTTGATTTCGTATGTAAAAGTTGATTTTGTGAGTAATATTTAAAATGATATTAATTTTTATCCCGTGGCTACTAAAAACATATTTATTTAATTGATCGGCTTTGCATTTTATCAAAAAGGGACAAGGCGAATATTTGTCTTGTATATCCAGTCTTAGTTTTGTTTCAATTTTTATGGAATTTGGTTGATCGAGACTAAACACGTGTAGTTTCTTTGTCTTGAATATTTATCGGAAATTTTTCAGTGGAGATTATCGTTGAGATTTTTTGTTGTTTACACTTTGACCATTGACAGGTAAGTGTTGTATTATGTTGTATATTTACATTGGTTCTGGATTCTAATTAGTAATGGTTGTCTGAAGGTTTATGGTTTTGTAGCAAAATGATAATGATAGAAGATGACAATGTCCATTCTTACCGGACCGTATCGAAGTGTGGGTTTTTTACTTTATGTATGAATCATTGGGAATGCTTAAGATTGTAGCAAAAGTTTATATACTTATTTTAACAACAGATGGGAATTCGAAATTTGAAATAAATCGCCTTTGCTTGTAGTCTATCCTCTGCCGATGCAGCAATGTTGATCAGGTAAGGGGTTGGGCGATTTGACCAGAGAAGATGCCCGTTTTCGTTGGTAAAAATTGGTTATGGGTTATTATATTTGTTTCAGGTTTTGATACCAGTTGCTACAGTTAGATTAAGTAAGTGTGATTTATTCTAAACTTATGTTTGACTTACAAGGCAATATTTCTTACCCATTAGATGTATAATATTTATTGGCTTCCATTTGTTTATTGATATTTTATATGATCATTAACTCATTTATTTGAATTAGGCCTAACCTGTTTTGCGTTGATGTTTTGCTATGTGGACATCATGGCGATGTATACAAGAAACTAACCTTAACGATTGTGGTTTTAAATCACTGGTTGCATGTAGTCTGTATTGGTCGTTGTGACAACTTTAGCTGGGCGATTTGACTTG